GCAAAGGCCCTGAGGCAGGAGCATGCCTGTGGTGTTCCAGAGCACAGCTGGGAGCCCTGTGGCTGCAGCTCCCCAGCAAGGAGGGGGAGGGGGCGGGGAGGCCAGAAGGATGACGTCATTCCCTCTGAGTAAAGTGAGGAGCCATCAGAGAGTTCTGAATGGGAGTGTGACCGTGTTACTTAGGTTTGGAGAGAGCCAGTCTCGCGGCTGAGCGGAGAGGAGGCTGCTGAAGCAAGGGCAGAAGCAGGGAGCCCAGCGAGGAGGCCACCGCTGAAATGCAGGATCGTGTGGAGGGCGGCTGGGCCCGGCATAGGAACAAGTGGACACATCTGGACATATTTCCAAGACGCAGTAAAACCGACAGGTCTGCTGATGGCTTGAGTGTAGACCATGAGGGAAGGCGAGGAGGCAAGGAGGCCTCCACATGTTTGTGTTGTTTTTAAATCATTTTGATGGAGGTGTAATTACACACAGGAAAATTCAGTGACCGCAAGCTCCCCCAGCACAGCCCGCGGCAGCCACCCATCTGCTCTGTCTCTGTGGCTCCGGAGCCTGGCTGGTCCCCTCAGCGTGCTGCACTGGGCGTCCGTGGGCCTTGTGTGCCGTCTGCTCCTCTCGCTTGCTGAGCAGAATTCTCCCGAACGGGCACCCTACAGTGTGTTTTCCCAACTGCCAGCCGGAGGGCACGTGGGTTTCCAGTGTTTGCCAATTCGGAATAAAGCTGCTATAAATGTCTGCGTGCAGGGTCCCTGTAGGTTTTCTTCCCTCTTGGGTAAATTTTAGGAGTCGGTGGCTGCGGGGAAGTTCAGCTGCATGGGAAACGGCCGCCCGGGTTTGCGGAGAGGCCGCCCCACGCTGTGTTCCCACCTGCGCCCAGGGCCCTGGCCATCACATGGGGGTGTCCATCCTCAGGGGTTTTCACACTGAGCTGTTGGAAGGATGGGCTCCTGCCTTTTGCTGGGGTGGGAAATTCTGACAGAGGGGATAATAGGATTCACTTGGGGTCTCGGTAAGGTCGAGGGGCCCAGGGGCTGTTCGGGGAGAGCTCAGGGAGTCACCTGTATGGATGGTCACGGAGCTCCGAAACCAGGGGTACAAACCAGGTGTGAGCGCCTGCAGGTGAAGAAGGATGGAAGCATGGCAGCGGCCATCGTGCAAACGCTGGGGGACCAGGGGGAGCCCACAAAGCAGACTTTGCTCTGTGAAAGTGATGACCCTCTCCGTAAGGTTGGAGAGCGCTGAGCCTCTGAAAACTCATTTGTCCTGGCTTGCCTGTGCATGACTGACAGGAAATCAGACACACGGCCCGAGGGGACGTGTCCCCGAGCAACCTTGTGACCTTCGGAGCACAACCACCTGGGTGCAGGGGGCAAGGTGCGGCTCGGACCTGGGAGAGGCCATTCTCTCCTCCTCTGTGTGGAACCCCAGACTGCCAGGGCCATCTGGGGAACTTGGGGAGGGTGCACTTGGCATGGACGCTGGTGAGCTCGCCAGGGCACCATCAGCCGGGGCAACGGTGAGACTCCTTCCGGTGCCTTGGTGGGAGGCAGCATTGATGAGACTTGAAGCAGGAAAGAGAGACAAGGAAAAGACTTATTCTTGGATAATTCTTATATCCGGGGACCCCTGAAGCTAAGTGGGGGGACCCTCTGCAGGTCCAGAATTCTTGTGGGCAGGTATGAGCTCAAAGCCTTTGAACTTTCGATAATTCAAATGTGCAGGGCGCCTAGCCAGCTCAGTTGGTGGACTGTGCAACTCTTGATCTCAGGGTTGTGAGTTCGAGCCCCATGTTGAACGTAGAGATTACTTAAAAATAAAATCTTGGGGTGCCTAGGTGGCTCAGTCAGTTAAGCGTCTGCCTTCGGCTCAGGACATGAATCCGGGGTCCTGGGATCCAATCCCACATCAGGCTCCTTGCCCGGGGCGGGGGGGGGCTGCTTCTCCCTCTCCCCCTGCCCCCCCTCTACTCATGCTCTCTCTCTCTCTCTCAACTAAAATCTTTTTAAAAAGTAATTAAAAATGAAAATAAAATCTTTGAAAAAAAAACCTAACGTGTGTGATTAATGAAATCTGACATGACCGCTTTCACGATAACAAAAAGTTTTCTGTAAAAAAACAAAAGATTTTCGGGGCGCCTGGGTGGCTCAGTCGTTAAGCGTCTGCCTTCAGCTCAGGTCATGATCCCGGGGTCCTGGGATCGAGCCCCGCATCGGGCTCCCTGCTCCGTGGGGAAGCCTGCTTCTCCCTCTCCCACTCCCCCTGCTTGTGTTCCCTCTCTCACTGTCTCTCTCTCTGTCAAATAATAAAATAAAAATCTTAAAAAAAAAAAAAGATTTTCTATAAACCTAAAACCATTCTAAAACAGAGGGTTTGAAACAGGTATATCAGTTAGGAATGCAATCAGCTGCAAATAAAAGAAGATCAACCAACAGCGGCTTAGAAGCACAGACACGTGGAGGGAGGCAGCTGTCGGAGACTGGATAGTGGGCCTGCCACATCCTCACACCCACAGCTCCTGAAGCTTTCCTGTCATTCGGCCCAGCAGCTTGTCACCTCATGGTGATAAGATGGCTGCTGATGTTTAAGCATCACATCGACATCCAAGACTAGAAGAAGGTAGAGGATGGGAAAGGATGCCGGCTGAATAGGTCCCTTTTATCAGGGAAAAGCTGTCTTCCCAAGAAACCACCCACCAGACATCTGCTTCCCTCTCCTAGGCCAACACAGGCTCTTGCGACTCTGCGGGAGATTGTGGAAGTGAGCATTTCACTTTTCCAGTCTCGACGGTGGAGGAAGCATGGGAGGGGCGTGGGCTTATCAGGCACAGGAGGTTGCCACCGCAGAAGAGCTGGGCTCAGTGTGTGTGTGTGTGTGCTCACTTGCTCTGGACGCGGGGGCAGCGCTGTGGAGTCCCAGGCGTGGGAGTGGACATCTCCTCAAGGGTTAAAGATCTGAGGAGAGAGCATGTGGAGGGACAGACCAAGTAGCCTGCAGCTAAGGCAGCTCGTGCTGGAATGACACTTGTCACCTTGGGGAAGCCAGGGGAGCTCTGGGAAGGGCTGTTCCGTGTGGGAGGCTGCAGCGGGTGGAGACACCTGCCCACTGGGCCCCCGGGACTTCTCCTGAGGAGACCGCCAGCAGGCCCAGGGGGTCTGTGGTCCCCAGAGGCAGGTGGTGTCCATGGAACCAAAGCAATGAGTGCCCCACCCGGAGTGGTCCAGATTTAGGGTGTGTTCCTGGGCCCAGCTCCAACCCGGGAGCAAAGGGGCTTCTCTGCTGGTGCTGGGCTGACTCCCTTGCCACCTCCTGGACCCCCCAGCCCTGATGAAGGAGTCATTACATATCCTGTTGTGGTGGGGACCCAGGTGCTGGTTCCCCACTCTGGGGCCCAGCTTGCCCTCAGCCTCCTCCAGGAGGGTGTGCTCAGGGGCTCCCTGGAGGCCCACCGCCCAAATCAGAGAGAACCCACCCCCACCTGAGTTTCCTGGCAACATCACCAACACCACCCTGGCAGATCTCGGAGGACAGAGGGAGGAAGCAGAGCAGCAAGCTGGGGAGTGGGGGCTGAAGGTGGGAGAGGGGGTAGGGGGAGTGGCAGGTAAGGAGGGGCCTTAGTCACGAAGGGGAGAGCCAGGATTTGGATGTGGCGCTCACCTGAGTCACCACTCACTCCCCTTTTTTTTTCCCAGGTGAGCAGGAGGCCAGTGTGGTGTTTGTTTTTTTACAAAACCAACCCCAAGCCATCTTCTGTGATCTGGTAACGACACAAGGGTGATCAAAACAACACGAGCAAATGTTTCAGAAGCTAATCCCCATAAAGGGTGCCAAACAGTCAGCCAGCCGAAACCACGTGCCGCCTTCTCAAAAACTCGCTTCATGGACAATTTCTAGTTGGAGACACTTTGTAAGCAGTCCTTCAGCGTGACTGGACCTAGTTGTTTTCTTGACTTTCTTTTAGAACCAATCTCTTTGTATGAACCATCATCAGGTTCACAGATTCCTGAAACCAACCACAGAGCCCTCAGTCCGCACATTGCACCAGTTGCAGGGAACCCCAGGTGGCAAGGACGGGGTCCCAGATGTGGGGGGGGGGGGCTGGAGGGGCAGGTCCAGGGGGCTGCAGAGGATGGGGGGGCAGTCCTGGGGGGAGGGGGCTGTTAACTGGCAGACCCGTTCGTCGCCTGGGACTGGCTCCCACCCCCTGTGGGCCCAGGCCAGGTGACTCAAGCCCATCGTGTCGCAGGTCTAGAGACCTGCCATCTCATTGTTTTGCTCTGTCCTGCGTGTCGCAGGCCCAGAGACCTGCCATCTCATTGTTTTGCTCTGTCCTTGCAGGACGACTCACAGAATCAGCAGTGAGTCACTCCTGCGTCAGCTCCTGGGGGTGCAGAGGACTTGGCTGCCTCGGCCTGAATCTGGGAGACCTGGTTCTCAGGGGAGGGAGGGAGGGGGTATCCTACTCTCATACGGGCGGGTTGCTCCTAGCTAGCCCAGTTTGGGAAACCCAACAGGCAGGCTGGGGGCCTCCTGCCTCCTCTCTATGTGGCCTCCCGGTGGGAGGGGGGCATAGGAAAGAAGTGCAAAGGCCAGGGGTCGTAATGCCGAAACACAGGTGCACGGGACGGCTCGGTCCCTGGCGGGACCATCAGACAAACTCACACCCACCTGCCCCTATTTTAATCCCAAGTGTACCCCCGCCTCCCAATATCCCCATACCTAGAAAAACAGTAACGGGGGAATAAACAATTTATTGAAATTGTAATAAATACGATATGCGGGCAGGGCTACAAATAACTGTAAAAATCGTCAGCACGGATATATACACACAGAAAACAAAGGCGCTCCCGCGGGCGGGGCGGAGCCTCGCAGCCGAGTCCGTGGTGCCGGCACGCGGGCGCCCCCTGGAGGCAGGTGGCTCACTTACAACGGCGGGAAGGGCGCGCGGGAGGGGCGCACGGTCAGGCTGCTGGGGCCGCGCGGCCGCCCGTCTCCCCAGATCCCTAACGCGCGCGGCCCCGGGACGGCCCGGCGCCCCGAGCGGGCCAGCTCCCCTGCGAGTGCCCGCGGAGCTGCACTCCCTGCACGATCCGCAACACCCAGGAGCGGTGGGCAGCCAGGCTGATGTAGACGCCGGGCCGGTCACGCTCCGCACAGCCCTCGCCCCAGCTGATGATGCCCGCCAGCAGCCAGGTGCCCTCGACCTGGCACATGAGGGGGCCCCCGGAGTCACCCTGCGGAGAGTAGGCAAGGTCAGGGACCCATGTGGCTCAGGGCTGGACAGAGCCCAGGACCCAACACAGCAGGTGGCAAGGGGTTCCCTGGGGGGGGGGGGCAGATTTCTCTGTCCTGGAGGACAGGCCCTCGGGCTCACTGCTGGTGAGGAGCACTTTGTGCCACACCTTCGCACTCACAGCCCCCGAGCCACACTGGAATCCTGGGTAGCAGAGTAGGAACTGCAACCAGGACCTTACAGTGTCCGAGCCTGGGTGCGGACCATTACAGCACCCGCTGTCCACCACCACAGTGATGGAGCTGGAGCTGGTTCTGGGGACCAGGATGCAGGAACCCCCTCAGGAGAAGGCAAGCTCCCAGAGAGTGGGGTCTGGCACACCCAAGACACTCAGTAGATGTTTGGTGTACAGTCAGATGGATGGAGGCCCAGTTCTGTAGGCATCCGGGGTACTCGCGGGTCCCAGCTGTCTTGGGGAGGTGAGCAGCGGCAGTGGTAGGAAGGTGGGGTGCTCACCAGACAGGCATCTCGCTGCCCCTCCAGGTAGCCAGCACATAGCATATCCTCGGTGATGGCCCCCTGCCCCGCTCCCCGCCAGTACAGGCGGCTGCAGACTTCTGAGTCGATGATGGGAACCTCCAGCTTCTGCAGGGTCTGGGGATGGGGCAGGGGCACTAGGGGGCAGGGAGCAGAGGGTCAGGCTTGGGAAACCCTCTCTTCATTGTCCCGACGGCCCCCTCCACACCCCCTCCGAGGCAGTTCTCAAAGGATAATGGCTCAACTCTGTCAGGCTCTCCCAAATGCCTGTGGAAAACCCGAATTCCAAGACTCCACCTCTGGACCTACTGAATCCGAACAGAAGTGTGCATCCTGAGACCCTGAATCTTTAGAGCTTTCTGATGCCCAAAAAATGGTTAGACCCACTGGTCCCAGCTTGTCCTGCCTCAGGCACCACTTTGTCCAACATGGGGACTGAACAGGGAAGTGTTCAATAAATGATCACCCCACGCTGGAGGTTATCAGGACCTGAGGAGTCCCCCAAACCCTAGGGGGATTGCAGACCCTGGAGTTGGTCTGTAGACCTCCCCCCCCGACAGCCCATAATTCCAGTTCTCGAAGGAGCCCTGCCTGTAACCTCAGAGTCAGGGGGATCCCCAGGCACCTGGTGTCATTTCTCTTAATTCTTTTGAAATATGGTTAATCATTTTTCTTAAATTTTTTCCTCCTAACCACCCCCCCATTATCTATCATCTTTTTTTGCTTCTTTGCCTCTTACTTTATCTGCCTTGTGTCTCTAGATGATGTTTTCCAGACTTGGTCTGACAATGTTATTTTCACAATGTCCTTCTGGAAATTTCGCCTGCAATTATGGTACGCTGCCACCAGGAGATGCCTGTTCCCCCCTAGTCAGCCCGGCCCCACACATGCTCCTTCCAGCCCTTCCTCCATCACCTAATAGCCTCGTCCATCTGGCTGCTGCTGCCCCAGAACATCATCACAGATCCCTTTTAACTAGAAGAGATCTACAAGCGTCCACCTAGCTTTCTGAGACTTCCCACCTCTGGGCTGCAGTTCACTTTTTCTTTTGTGTCTGTTGTCAGAAGAGTCTTTTTCCTTCTGCTATGCCTCTGGCCTCTACCCTCTGCTGCCCACTGTAACTGTGTCTCTGGGAGCCTGCCAGCCTCTGTCCCCAGCCACCCCTGGCCATCCGGTAAGGGAGAAGCCGCACCTCCATCATGGATGCTCCCCCAGCCTGCAATCCAGCAGCGCGTGTTGGGAGAGAGACGGACGGAGGCATCAGGCAGGCAGATGGGCAGGATTCGCTCAGAGAAGTGGATGGAGTGCTCAAGGCGCACCAGGGCGATGTCCGCACGGGAGCCCTCTTCCCAGGAGTACATGGGGTGGGACTGCACCCAGGCGATACCCACCTCCTGGGACCTCGGGCCAGGGTTCCCCAGCTGCCAGGCCCCCAGCAGCACAGAGAACTGGGATGGCTTGTTCAGAGTGCTGGCAGGAAGAGGAAAGGGGGTAGGGTCAGTCAGGAACCCTGGGGGGGGGGTGGTGCCGGGAAGGGTCAGGGAGTGTCTGGGGGACAACATGCTTATGGAAGCCCCTAAGAAGCAGCAGGGTCTCTCCTCTCGCTGAGAGGCCCCGAGACTGGACAGAGAGCGGGAGGCTGGGGCTGAGTGGGGAGCCCGGGGTCCGGGGCAGGAGGCCTGGGGTATCAAGTGCAGGACTGGCGTGCATACCCCTTGAAGCAGTGGGCAGCGGTGACCACCCAGCGGCTGGTGAGCAGGGAGCCCGCACAGTGGTGGGTCCCATTCTTCTGGATGCTCACGACCCAGGGCCACTCGGCATCGGTGCTGTCCTCACCACCCACGATCCGGTTCAGCTGCTGGGGCTTCCCACAGGCTGGGGGTGCTGGCAGAAGAGGGTCACGTTTTGCCGCCCCCAGGGCCCAAGCCTCCCGCCCAGCCCCATGCTGTTCTTCCCCGGCCCTCCCCTCAGGCTGGCCTTCCCTCTGTGCGCCTCTCACGGGCTGCTGCCCTGCCCTGCGCCCCCCTTCTACTCAAGAGTCTCCGCTCTGCCTTCCAGGCCCCCTTGGCTGCCTGCCCAAAAGCCCCTTCTGACCTGCTCCCCCCGCCCCCACCGCTCAGGGCGGCCCCACTCACCAGGTATCTCGGCAGCATGGAAGGAGGCTGAGGGCAAGGGAAGGAAGGGTCAGGCCAGCGGAGATGAGCCCCCCAGTGTCCAGGGCAACTCCCCAGACCCCCATCGTGGGGCATTTCCTGGAGCCTGGGCGGGGCTGACAGAAACCTCGGGCTCCGTCTCTAAGCTGCGGCCTTACCCTCCCACCAGGTGTGCTCCATCCCATCCGCCTGGCAGAGGATGAAGGGCGGCTGGCTCCTGGGCGCCTCTCACGGAGGAGTCAGGGAGCACACGCCTGACCCTCTCAGGCTCCCCCCCAACACCTGAGGCTGTGGCCCAAGACCCTCTCAACCCCAAGCCCAAGGCCTGGAACAGAAGCGTGGGGACCCGAGAGCAGGGCGGGGGGAGGAGGGGACAGCAATGGGAGGGCTGAGGCTGTTGAGGTCTGCCCAGAGCCTGCCTCAGTGCGTCCCGCAGTCCTGCCGGCAGCCACAGGACATGGCAGAGAGGAGCAAGAAGCACAGAAGGCGAGGGGGAGAGGGACAGAGACCGGGTGCAGGCAGGGCCGGGAGAGAGGGTGGGAAGGTGCTGAGGAGGGAGAAGGGAGGCGGTGGCCCTGGGGGACAGAGGAAGGAGGGGCGGCAGGTCCTCAGGACTCACCTGCAGAAGCCAGAAGCAGCAGGGGGGTTAAGATCCTGAGACAGCCCCCACCCTGGGCCGGGGGAGTTCTGGAAACCACCATAGCCAGTGGGGGCCCCGGGCACGGCTGGGAGAGCAGTCCTGCCTCTGACAGGAGTGTGCAGAGTTCCCTACAGGTCACCCCAGGTTTTATCCTGGGAGGTGGAATGCCGTTGGACCAGTCCCCCAAGTAAGTGAGTGGCTCAGTCCCTGCCCCCCGGGGCTGTAGGTCACAGGAGGGGTGGGACTGCTGGGAGGAAATGAGCCGTTAAGGGGACTGGGGGCTCTAGTGGAGACCCCTACCTCTGCCCTGGAGGAGTGGACTCAGGGCTCTGGTTTAGGGGCCCAGGATCTACCCCCTGGAGGAACAGGACCCAGACCCAGCGGTCTAGGCCAATGGCCTTGACATTGACTAGGAAAGGTCCCCAGTTTGGGTGGGGAAGGGAAAGCCTGGGTCTGCAGCAGCTGGAGGCTAGGGTATGGGGTCTTGCTAAGGTCGCAGGGCCTTGGGGAAAAGGGGGTTGCCCAGAGGCTCAGTAACGGCTCCTTCCTCCAGGGGCCACTGTGACTCAGCCAGGAGACCTGACTGAGCCCTGGGCTCTGGGATCCCGTTAACTCACTTCCCAGAAAGCTGTGAATCAGGCCCCCAGTGGCCACCTGTCATGTGGGTCCTGTCACTTGGTGGCGAACAACTCACCCCTCACCTGGACTGCAGGGAAGCCCGGGTGGGGCCAGCCCGGTGCCCAGGTGGCTGACTGACGTGGCGGCCTGGGCAGGGCTGGTGTGCCATCCCCCATGCCTGGCCTGGCCCCTGCACTCCGGTCAGAGGGCAGCGGGGCTCCACTGGAGCAGGGAGCCTGGGGATGCGCCAGATGAGACCTTGTGACCCGGGGTCCCCACCACTTCCTCCCTGACTCAGCTCCCTGCTCCCGTGATGCGCCCACCCCAAGCCGGAGGCGCAGGCTCACTGTGTATCTCTGTCCTTTTGTTCATTTGATCAACAAGCCAGGTGCTGGGAAGGGGTGCGAAACAGTGGGAGCGTACGGTGTGCCCTGCATTGCCGCATCTCAGCCTCAAATCCCCTTACCGTTCCCGCTCTGCAGCTGAGGAAACTGGGGCCTGGGGGTAAGGGGCGAAGCCTGGATTTGAACCTCAATCCAGAGGCAGGTGACAGGATCGGACACAGTAGATCCGGAGGGCTCTTGGTCCAGGAGACGGTTCTCACCCAAGAGCCTAGGTGTGGGGGGCAGGGAGTCTCAGGGGCCCAAGGAGGCACCTGACTCTGGTGGGGCTGCCAGCCAAGACTGCCCAGAAAAGGAGGACCTCGAAACAGAGGCCTGGAGGGCAAGTGGGAGTGGGCCTTGCAGAGACTCAGGAAGGAGGGCTCCTCGCAGAAGAGGGGGAGTCGGGCTGGAAGGGGTGGGGGCCCTCCAGACCGACCCTCAGTGCACACCGCTGGGTGCTCTCTGGAGCTCCCCAGCTTGGCCAACATGCTCTGCCCCCACAGCCTGTGGGGGGGCCCCCAGAGGCTGCTGCCTCCCCCCGAGGCCGGAAGGGTGGCGGGAGTCAGCAACGACCACCTCCCCTGGAGACTGCAACACCACAAAGGATCACTGGTGTTTTACTGGTCCCCCATGCCAACCCCCGCTTTGGTGGGAAGGGCAGGAGACAGCCGGGTGTTAAACTGCAGCCAGAACCACCCCTGCGCATCAGGGCAAGCCCCCTGTCGCACCCCACCCGCCCTGAACAGCCCCCAGCTGATGAGCTATTCCTGGGACTGGGAGGAGGGGGCTGCCGCAGAGTACCCTCACACAGCGGCCAAGGTGAGGGGCTGGTTCTGTGGGTGCTCACCTCCCCACCGGCCCCTGATCCTGGGTCACCCCTATACTCCATGGCTAGCCTCAGGCTCCCCCAACCCACTCCCTCCCTGCAACTACGGTGGTTGGCCTCCCCAGCTCATTTGATAAGCATTTATTGGGCAACTGCTGTATGCCAGGCCCTGTGCTGGACACTGGGGCGCAGTGGTGGGTAAGACACAGGTCCTATCCTCAGGCAGCACGCATCTCCCCGGGGCTGGGCAGCAGAGCAGGTGACGATGGTGAGGAGTCAGGGACAAGGGCAGAGGGGAGTCTGGAGGATTCTGCTGGGCTGAACTGCTCCAGACTGCTGCCTCCCCAGTGTCCTCTGTGTAACAGCCTTTCCTGACACCTGGGTCACTGCCCAGGTGACCCAAGGGGCAGGCATATGTCCTAAGATGTCGCTGTCCCCAAGACGGGGTGGCTAGGACCTGGCAGGTACCACAGGAAATCCTGAAAAGCCAATGAAGACCCTGGCACGGGCCCTAAGCAAGGCCTTAGAGACCGGCTCCCCGGTTCCCAGAGAGTGGGGACCTTGGTGTGATCTGACATTCAACAAAAGATTTACGGAGCGCCTACTATATGCTGGAGCCACGCCAGGTGTGCTGGCTGGGCACCTCATCACCTGGGCACACAACCCTGCCGGCCATGTGGCCGTGGCGCCATCTCAGGGCCACCGACAATGTGCAGCGAGGTGGGCAGGATGCATGGGGCTGCAGAGCTGGGCCAGCCACGCTCCCCCCGGAGCAGGGGCCCGCCAACGCCATTTCAGACAGGGCAGACGTCAGCAGACGTGGCTATCCATTCATCCCCAACCCCAATCTCCCAGTGCCTGCCGTGCGCTGGGCGCTGCCGTACCAGTTGGAGATACAGCAGCGAGCAAACCGAAAGCAACCCTGGCCCTTGTGTCAGGGACACCGGAGGAAAAGACAAAATAAACTATAGGAAGAAATCACTTAGTCTGATGGATGATGAAGTCCCGGGGAAGCCAAACCAGGAAGGGGATGGGGCCGGGGGCGGGGGGGAAGGTGGCCATCGTGTCAGGAACTCAGGACAGTGCTGACTCCAGTGCTCCCTCTCAGACTGAGTCTTACGGGTGAAGTCGGAGGTCATCCCAGCCCCCAGAACGGCACCAGCAAAGGCTCCGCTGGGTGGGACTGGCAGATTCGAGCTGTGGCAAAGGGGAGGCACAGCGGGTGGGGGGGGCTTTCTGTGGAGGTGACACTGACCTGGGCTCCAGGGAACCAGACTGGGAGACAGGTGGGGAGGCTGTTCCAGGGACCAACCAGCTCGTGGGCACAGGGGCGGGCGCTCGGGGGTGCGGGGAGCAGCTGATGGCTCTCAGCAGAGGGTGCTGGGACACACGTGGCCCTCGTGCCTGAGCCCCTGCCCCAGCATGTCCTGCACCCCACGTTCACAGCAGCAGGACCTACAGAGCCCCAAGGTGGACGCAGCCCAATGTCCATCTGTGGATGAACGGATAAACACAGTGTGGCCCATTCACCCGCCCAACGGAATATTATCTTATTACCCAGCCATAAAAAGGAATGAAGCGCCGGTCACCTGCCAGTGTGGGGGGAAGCTGGAGGACGCTGTGCTCAGTGACAAGAGCTGGATGCAAAAGGACAAATACTGCAGGATTCCACTGGTAGGAGGTCCCCAAGGTTGTAGAGCCACAGCATCAGGAAGTGGAAGAGGGGGTGCCAGGGGCCAGGGAAGGGCCGGGAGTTAGGGTTCAGCGGGGACACAGTCCTTCAGGAAGATGGAAAAGGTGCGCAGATGAAAGCGGGACGTCTGCACATATTTAATGCCACTGAGCCATGCCCTTAGCAGTGGTGGAAACAGTAATACTGTAATTTTTTTTTTTGGGAAGAAAATCTGAATGTCCCCCCTCTTGTTTTTTTTTTTAATAAAAGATTTTATTTATTGAGAGAGAGAGAGAGAATGGTAGAGAGAGAGCATGAGAGGGAGGAAGGTCAGAAGGAGAAGCAGACTCCCTGCTGAGCAGGGAGTCCGATGTGGGACTCGATCCTGGGACTCCAGGATCATGACCTGAGTCGAAGGCAGTCGCTTAACCAACTGAGCCACCCAGGCACCCTGTCCCCCCTCTTGTGAACATTGGGCTGCAGAGGGGAGTGGCCAGCGCGCTGGTTGCCCCGGGGACAGCAGCGGCCCTGCCGCGGGAGCGCGCAGAGCACTCACAGGAGCAGCTAAACGGGAGCTCCTTCCTCCCCCCTGGGCCTCAGTTTATCCATCGGTGAAGAGGACTGGTCAGCCCTCCGCCCTGCCTGTCACAAGTGCGGGAGCCACAGCTGCTCAGGTGTGAGCGCCGGCTGAGCAACACTAGGCCACGCGTCTGCAGGCAAGGTTTTCTGGAACCATTCGTCCCTGGCTGCCCTGGAGATACTCAAGGACACGGCTCACTGGCTGGTATTCCGTCATTGGGGATGTCCTTCCTCTGGTCTAACCACACTCCTGAACTCTCCTAGGAACGCATATGTCTCCAACCCTGTCCCAGGTCCCACCCAGAGCCCCCTCTCTACCCCAGCCCAGCCCCCATAGCCTGGGCCTCCCATTTTCCTCTGCCTCTGCCCACGCTCCTCACGGTCTCCCCAGTTCTGCCCATCCCCGTCCTGGCCGCAGAGCTCTGCCCCTGCTCCCTTCTGCGTGTGGCATCTTGGGATACTCAGTGGTTCCACTGAAGTCTCAAGTGTCAAGCACGCCAAATCCTCTCATCTTCTGGCTCTCCAACCCTGGCCTGTGTGGTCTGCACACGCCCACACCCACCTCCCACCTAAAACTCGGGAATACAGCTTTCTCCACCTTATAGCAGCATTGTCTGTCCTCGTGACATCTCCATAAAGTGGAGGCTGAGCACCCCCTGTTGCCCAGCCTTCCCTTCTCTGGTCTTAGGGGTCCCCCCTTCCCCACACCCTTCCTCACTCCCACACTTTCTAAATGCAGAGCCCTAGCTCTTTGACTCTTTGAATGCTGGACTTCCAGGGTCCAGGTGTCGATTATGAGTCAGGTATCTTTGTGCTGGCTGATGTCTTCCTGGAATAGAAAGCATTGTTAGCTCTTGTGGTCCACTAAGACCTTCAGGCATCTTCCAGGCTGCACTTACAGCTGCTCCCCCATCCCTTACTGACCTACTCTCTTCTGCTAAGGCTCATCTCTAAGTCAGCTTGCTCCAGAGTTTTCCTTCCAT